GCCCTTGCTCCTAGTAGTATGGCCAGGAGCCCCTAGTAGCGTCCTTGCTCCTAGTAGCGATGCCACAAGCCCCTAATAGCGCCCTTGCTCCTAGTAGTATGGTCAGGAGCCCCTAGTAGCTAGCGTCCTTGCTCCTAGTAGCGATGCCAGGAGCCCCTAATAGCGCCCTTGCTCCTAGTAGTATGGCCAGGAGCCCCTAGTAGCGTCCTTGCTCCTAGTAGCGATGCCAGGAGCCCCTAGTAAGAAAAACTGTAGACCTGCTGAGATGAGTTTTCATGTTCTTAGGAATGGACAAAAGGCAACAAGTCCACCCTTTCTTGGCCTCACCTAGTCAGTGTGCAACTGAGTTGGCGAGATTTCTTTAGGTGAAGACAGTCAAAGTACGCTCTGATGTGGCTGTTCTGTTGCTGGTTTTGACTCGTGATCCCCTGCTATTCAGCCTTGGTTGCTACTCACGACTAGGCGACCTGGCGCTGGGTGGCTTGCTGCTGGCCTTTTGCGCAGCTTACCTCCCAGAGGCGTGTAAATCCGACTAAACAGCCGCTGGAGGCCATTACTACTAGTAACAAGGACGCTACTAGGGGGGGAGGCGGTCAATGGAACAGTTGTGGAATGCGCTGGCCCCATCCCTCCTTTCCCTTCATGCCATTGGCAAGATGAACATCAGGGTATCGCCGCCGATGACCTACAGCCCTGCGACATTGTATGGCCATATAGTCCGCAATGATCCTTTGACCGAAGAAGTTGCTCTTCCCGAAGGGTTCACGTGTTGCCTTTTGGGCCTTTTTTTGGCACCAAGTTTGTCCAAGTTGTGTTCTCAATTTTCAGAACGTGTGCACTCCACAAAGAAAATTAGTTGTAAGAAAAGGAAAAAGATGAGAAGAGTCTTTTTGAGAAGCTTTGCTTGCCCCATGGGAGAGCCGTTCTTGAAAGGCCCTAGGATTCAATGGAGCAGCCTACAAGGCCTGGAAGCTTGGGTGCGGCGCGCAGTAGCCTCGAACGAAAGTGGAACTTGAAAACGAGTCCACTTAGCGTCCTTGCTCCTAGTAGCGATGCCCTTTGTTCCTAGTAGCGTCCTTGCTCCTAGTAGTAGGCCAGGAGCCCCAAGTAGCGTCCTTGCTCCTACCCCCCTCGCGCGCGCGCACGTGAAAAGGTCCTAGTAGCTGCTAGTTTCAATTCTAATTAAATTCTAATTAGATTTAATTGAATTGTAATTCTAATTATATGTATTTCTTGTTTCTATTAGCGATGCCCTTGCTCCTAGTAGTAGGGCCAGGAGCCCCTAGTAGCGTCACCTGCGTTTGTGCAGGTTACAATCCATGAATTAATTCCGACTTTCCCATCCGAAGCTCTTCCACACCTGTTTGCTAGCGCAAGGTGGGCGGCTTTCGCTACTTCATCAACCGAGGCCATGAGGCCTTCTCTGAAGCTGTGCACCAGCTGGCAGTGGAGTATCCAGGCCAGGTGAATGGGGAGAGCGAAGTCCACAATAGGGCTAAGCTTTGTTGGGGCGGGGTCCACATGTGAAGTCAGACTTAGTTTGATGATTTCTTGTAGTTGGGTTTAGGACGGGGAGTAGATCTCCTAGATTCCATACTTTTCCTTCATATGAATGGAAGCATGCTGTATCGTGCAGGTTTTGAATTGAGGCTTTTCTTCTGTCGTTCATCGTTTTGGAAGTTGTTTTCTTATTTTGCATCAATGACGTGCCTCTTGGTTTGGCGCGAGTTAAAATCCAACCTGGTCGTGTTTTGTTTTTGTGGTGCCACAGCCTGACGGCAGGTTACAAAGATGACACGATCTTCACCTACTTCGACACCTTCGAAGAGACCTTGCCACAGCTGGGCTCGGCAAAGCGACATGTGAGGCTCCTTGATCGAGGCACGGTCCATGGATCGGTGTGTACACTGGGGCCGCTAGGATTGATGCTGAAAAGGCAAGTAAAGTCGATCAGTGGTTTCGAACAGATAGGTTGGCAGTAAATCAAAGAGGTGGGTCCTCAGATCAATGCCAAGTTGACAAACCATCTTGGTTCCAATCCACGGGCGGGGGGAGGGTAGAAGCATTGGGTAGAAGCATTAGAAGCGTAGAAGTAGGTTCCTTTGCTAGTAATTACAAGTGCATCGCTAGTAGTAACAAGTGCCTTACTGGTAGTAACAAGAAGCTAGTAATAACAAGTGCCACGCTAGTAGTAACAAGTGCCTTACTGGTAGTAACAAGAAGCTAGTAATAAGCATTAGATTTCACTCGGCAGAAGTCACCAACATCTACGACCACAAGCGCGGTTTGGAAGAGCGGCTCCGTGCATCGGGCTGTGGCTCGGCAGAGGGAAGGCGGGAAAGAAGAAACAAAGAAAGGCGCTACTAGGATGGAGGCCTTTGCTTCTAGGTTGGAGGCCATCGCTAGTAGCTTTCTTTGTTCTTTCTTTTAGGCGGGGTAGGCTGTGTGAGGTCAGCTGACAAAGAGTTCATAGATTGATAGTAGTAAGAAGTAACTTCTAAGCTTAAGGGCTGTCAGGCTTGGATGAAGGAAAGCTCAGGCTTGATTCATTTGGTTCTGAGTTCTTTTTGGAAAACTGAAGTTAGTTCACGTAGCCGGTGGTTTTGTTGAACAACTTGTTTACATCCCTTTCTTTACTGGTTTTAATGTGGGATCTGTATTTTTCCATTCAGGTAACGGCCCAGATGGGCCCTTTCCTGAAACCTACTTCTCGGCTGAAGAAGCGCTGGAGGCGATCAGGGCGATCAGGGCGATCGACAGTTGACGGTTAGCATCAAGAAAGCGTGGACATAGTTTCGATGAAAGCGATAGTCCAAGACGTAGAAAGCAGTCAGACGCGGCAAAGAGTGTGTTTAGCTCGGCGCCCAATGCCTCTCCCCACTCGGAGCCACGAGGAGCATGGAGGTGAATCATGCTTCCAAAGGCCCTATAGTCTTCCAAAACCGGTACAGGCCAGAGGGTCATCAAGACGAAGTGAACACGTCAAGATAGAAAGCAACTCTTCCACGTGAACAAACACTTTCTAGGAGAGAGGTACCAAAGAAGCATTTGTGCGTATATTGTTCCTCTACCCCCCCGCACGCGCGCGCGGAAAAAAGCTCCTAGTAGCTTCTTGCTCCTAGTAGTAAGGCCAGGAGCCCCTAGTAGCGTCCTTGCTCCTAGTAGCCATGCCAGGAGCCCCTAGTAGCGACCATTGTTCCTATATTGGAATTACTTTGGCCCAAGATCTCACAGACCTTTTAGCTGGTCACAATCACCCGCCGCTTGGTTCACCCAGTTGTTTCAAGATCGGCCGCGTAGGCGACGTCCTCGAGCAGCGACGCCCTGTTCTTCGCCAAGCTGCCTGGTGAAACCGGCGGCCGCGGGCTCAGGGTGCTGCGACGTGAGGAGACTAACTCGAATGGCGGGGAGTTACTGGGAGGTGCAGAACTATTTTTGTTTACTGAATTTGTGAATTTGTTCCTTGTGGATTCTGTATCTTTATTTCTTTTGAGATTGGAACGTCTCCAGTTTGGGCAGGAGGGTTGCCGGGCTGCCTCCCATGTTTAATAAAGGAATAATCAAAAAATAAGAGGAGTGGAGACTCAATTTGGTTTCTCCTCGCAAGCTTGACCGTGAAACTTATCATTTGCCTTTGTTCCTCTTTCCTCTCAGTGAGTCAGAAAGCAAGTAGATTTGTGCCTGACATGGGCACCAGTCATAGCGAAAGGTGATTCTTTGGATTAAACTTTTTCCACACATTGAGTTCCTGCCTCGGAATGGTCTTAATTAGGTGATCATAGGTGATCTTGCTGTGGTTTTTTGTTTCTTCAACATGACTTTGACCTGTTCTTTACCGGTTCAAACAGGTGTTGTTCTCTTGGAAGGAGCTTCAGCAGTTCACGAATTCAGACTATGTCTTCCAGCGAGCCGTGCAGGACGGAGAGATGGCTGCGTGGGAGCGGGCAGATCCTGCTGTTCCAATCGCGGTAAAGATCTATAGCAGACAGGATCTAATCCAATAGAAATACAGATAATAGAACGCTACTAGGGGCTCCTGGCATCGCTACTAGGAGGATTCTTACAACCAGTAACAATAAGCTGCTAGGAACAAGTGCATTGCTTCTAGTAACAAGTGCCACGCT